GGTTTTCGGCGCGCATGGCGGCGCGCGTGCTGTGTGAAGCCAGGCTTGGATAGATCCGTGTTCACCCGCTGCTATGTGCGCACGCGCTACAACAACTACGCTTGTTGTTAACAGCGGGGCGAACAGCAGCGAGCAGTCTACAATAAACAGTCGCGTCCTCCCAGGTGGGTCACTATATAACCAGCAGCGGTACTTATCGCTACGGGAGGGTACCGGTGGTTGTCATATTGTAGAGTTACGAAACCACAGTTACATACGGTGTCAAGAAGAGAGCCTGCACGCGGCGACACCTGCCAGTGGACGAACGATAAAGCTGCGAGATGTCAGTGGAGGAAGCCGGAAACTGAATCTCTTCATCCCTGCATCCTTGCAAGAGGGTAGGCCGCCTGGCCGCACCTGAGCTCCGCATCGCAGCCACTGGGAGAGCAGACTACAAAAAAACATACATACAGTACTGCGACATTGAGATGCAGATTGGTAGAGTAATTACCTATCAGTGTCGGCAACAAAACATCCCTACAATATAATCCCGCCCCCAGTCCTCTCCCGCCCGCCCCCGCCCACATGTTTTCATGCTCACCTCGTACGTAGGGGGGCTCGTTGTCAGTCAGGTTTTTGGAGAGCGAGTCGCACGCGCGTGTGCGTGCGTGTACACGTGTACGCGCAGGTTGCACGTACAGACGAGAGCTAATTGGAACAACGGCTGTGACTTGTTTACCGAAACGTAACACGACGTTACGCAAGTATATAAATGCGGCTGTAAAGGCGAGAGGCGAGTGTTCACTAGTCATCGTGCGCTATGCCGTGAAGCGAGCTAGGTGACAGCGAAAACCTGGGAAAAATTATTTTCTGAGGCGGAGTAAGCGATTGGTTTGACAGCGAAAACCTTGAAAAAATTATTTTCTGAGGCGGAGTAAGCGAGTGGCATGACAACTTGCCAAGCAGGCGCGCTCTGCTAGCGTGAATACAGTACAAAGAACGCCGCCTCTGCTAATGTACTCAGAATTGAAGGATAAGAACAAGAGCGTATAAAGAAGCTTCGTTGTACGCTCTTGATAAGAACTATATATAGTCGAGCACTTCGCAACGCGAAGACATCTGACAACAACACACAGACATTTTTTGTTTAAAAACGCCGAGACGTGTTTTTTTTTATAGAATTAGTAGTGGTATAGCGTGTGAGATTAGACGAGAGGTTCATTGTGTTGCGAAAGCAAATGATTTCTGAATCGATTTTATGAAATGTCGATCGATTTCTGTTTAATTCGGCGACTTACTGTGCGCTGTTTCGTGTATGTACGAAATTATGTTATTGTAAGTGCCGTCGCGTGCACGCATACTGATAAACTCGGATTGATTTAGCGACCATATGCGTATCGCTGTCAGTTCCTCATGATTTACAAAAAAGCTGCAAACAGAGTGGGAGGTTTGAGAAATTGCATTATTTACAATTCTACATGTGTGTCTGTGTGCCTGTGTGCCTGTGTCTATGTGTCTGTGTCTGTTGGATCCAGAGTGGGAGGTCTGAGAAATGGCATTATTTGTCAGTATTTATAAGTCGAGCGCACGATACGTCTTGAGATCGGGAAAAACTACTAGTGATTCTTTAGTAATACAGAGTCTAGTAGACGCTGCAACTAGCCGGCCTATACTCTGGTCGTATTTCGTTACACCTCCTCTGCTCCTCCCTTCCTTTGTTTACCTCTCACCGCCTCCCCTTTCCTGCTGACATCCATGTCACGAATCCTGCTGACTATCTGTCTCTCGGCCGTGTAGTGTACTATACGTATAGTTACTATATTGTCTTGCATCTCAACGGCAACAATCTTTCGCTTTTCGATACGCAGCAGTAAAAACCTCCGTTTCCTATTTGAGATCCGATTTGAGATCCTATTTGAGATCCGGTTTCCGCAGCGACAAAATATTCCGCGGCGACCGCGAGAATTTTCCCTCCGTTAATTGCCCCGTTATTTCTGCCGACCTGGCTGCCAGCCCGCACGCGATCACCACGCACGCGTTATTTAGTGTTAATTGCCCTGTCAGCGTGAGTATGATATATTGTGCGGGATGGTCGCAGCGATGTGCGAGTGGCGCTTGTGACCTATTTGCGAGTGCTAGCTGGAGCAGCAGCTTCGTGCGTAGTTAGGGAGTGATGGGGTCGGTCACGTTCATGAAGAGGATGACGATGGTCTACCTCTACTACTGTGCTGTCGCGCCAGCCGCCCGTGCAATTGTTTCATCTGCATTATGTAATGATTCGATGTGTGTGAGTGCGTGTGTGTGAGTGCGTGTGTGAGTGCACGCGCGCGTGTGTGGGTACGTGCATGTTTGCGTGCGTGCGCGTGCGCGTGCGTGTGCGTGTGTGCACGTTTACGTGCCGGTACGTGCATGTTTGCGTGCGTGCGCGCATGGTGTGTGCGTGTGCGTGTGCGTGCGCGTGTACGTATGCGATACGTTCTCGATGATTTCAATATTCCGAGCGTGTGCAGGAGGAATTGAATTCCGTGTTCCGCGTTCTGTGTGTGTGCGTGTGTGTGTGCGTGCGTGCGTGCCTGCGTGCGTGCGCGCGCGTGTGTGTGCGTGCGTGCATGCGTGTGTGTGTGTGTGTACGTGCGTGCGTGTGTGCGTGTGTGTGTGCGTGCGTGCGTGCCTGCGTGCCTCTCTAAGTCTCTTGTTATCCCCCCCCCCTCCCTGCTCACCAGCCGCCCGCCCACTGCGTAGCATCGGCCAACACTGGCTGTTTACTTATAGTACGTCGCTTTAACGGGATTTCCCCTACTCCAGCCTTTGTTGTACGTTGCTGATCTACGAGCATCTTCAGTCGCGTTACGACTTGTTGTGTACATGATCTAAACGCTGTCTGGGAAGACGTCGTGTATTGTATAGTCTGTCGTGTCGTGTGTGTCGTTGTGTATTGATGCCTCGAGATTAGATAATGCCGTTTGACAAACTATAACTAGTCACTATACCCCCATATACAGCGGCTGTATTTCAACGGGGTATCGAGCATTGTGCTCCGTAGCTGTCAAGATATAATTAAAGTAATTGCAGACTTAAACTTCGGATATAGTCGGAATGATTTGCGGCGGAGGTGAATGGAACTTGAGTGCATTGGCGACATCAAAGTATATGGAGCATGTTGAGAGAATTGTATATATATTATTCTATTCTATACTATTCTATATACTAACTATACTATTCAGTTCACAGTTATCCGTGCTTTAATCAAATTGAGTTTAAATGCGTCTCAACAGAATGTGTTTGTGGATCTCCGATGCTCCTCTGTTTGATTCTCGTTGTAACCGTAGGTTGGCGTTCCTATTACGTAAGGATGTTTTCACGGCATCTTTTCGTGGATAATGGGCGCCATTAACGCATGCGATCTTTGTGCATCAGTAAACGCACTTGCGGTTTTGGACAATGAATGTTTCCACATGTTAAAAAAAAATGTTATGAGTTTCGCTATTCTATTAGCTCGGCTGCTTTCTCTACTGTTACACGGCGTGGGAAATAATAATAACTTCAATATCCTCGGGCAGTGCGAATTGATTTAAAAAGAGGTTTTTACTTCATGTAGTCAATATTGGACTTCTCTGGCCCAACGTCGTGGAGGGAAAACGTCTGCGTGACGATCGACCGCTTCGTATAGAAAACATGTTTTTGTGTGCGATTCTCTTTTGTGTTGCACTATATTGAATTGCATCGACTAGGTGCGAGTATATTTTAATGTGTTATTAGAAGTGTATTTACGGTTGTTCTTCTCATGTAAGGTTGCCTTCTGCCACTGCCTTGCGATTTCTATGTACAGCGCAATCTGTATTTAAGGGTCACTCGGGGGTACCTCCCAAAATGTCCTTTATAGAGAGGTCTCCGTTCTATTGATGTGGTTTCACTGTATTACTTCTACCTAAAGGAAACACTAACTGATCTCTATAGACAGGTGTCCTTTTTACGAGGTGTGCGCTATCGCAGGTTTGACTGTACAGACTGTACATATACTAGGCTGACAGAGGAACTGCCCTTAGCGCAACAAACGCCTTCCTACGCAACCCGGTAACAGGCAAGCATTCCCCCCAAAAAAACAGAATTCAATCTGCACGTTATACCGAGATTCGGACTTACTGATTGCCTTACCGACGGTGCTTATGAAATTAAAAGTGCATTTCATATCCGCCATTTTTCATTGTAATTTTCTCGTGAAATTTTCTTGCGAGAGATAATAGTCATCTCGCCGTGTAAACAGATGCATTATAATTATGATTATCCCCCGCAGCTCTTACAAGGGGACCCGCTACAAATCTACCTGTGTAGAACAACAACAAAACAAAAATACCTGCTACAAATCTACCTGCGCAGAACAAACAAAAAAATAAAAATATTCGCTACAAATCTACCTGCGCAGAACAAATAAAAACACAAAACTTTCCGCTACAAATCTACCTGCGCAGAACAAACAAAGAAACAAATATCCTCTACAAATCTACATAACTTGCCTAGAACCGAAAAAAAAATCACAAAAATACAAGTAATCGATAAGTAATGTTAATTATACGAGCACGTATTGTAATCCTATTACGCTTTCCTATCCCATTGGCCAAGGCTCAGTAGTTCGTCAGTACTGCTTCAATACCAAGATTACTCGCGTTGTTTAAATGTAGACTTCAACCCCCCAAAGCCGTTTAGTTCGAATTTCGAATCCTTTGTTATTGCGGCAAGCCGTTGCGCCACGGGTCATGTAGCGAAGGTTTCGAATAAACATACCGCATAATTTTATTTTCATCTGCGTTATTGACGCTTAGTAAGGATGAATCGGCAGTGACGTCATGACGATAAAAGATCGTGTGGGGTTTGCTTGTCAGTGTTCGCGTGTCGGTGAAATGTATATATGTATAGGCGTTTCGTAAGGAAACACGCGCCATGCACACTGTAAATCCAAGTGTTTAGGTTCTAAACACATAACTAAACGCCCCAGTGTAACACTTAATAAACGTGTAATAGTGTTTAGTTTATATAAACAAAGCGTTTATTAAATAAACGTTTGAAGTGTTTATACCCATGTAACACTTAATAAACACATAAACACGTTTAGTTGATATAAAACTAAACATACTGTTTAATAGGTAAACACATAGGGTAAACACCAGCAATAAACACATAAACATGTTTAGTTGGGACAAAAAGTATTCATAAACTATTCATGCATGGCCTCAAACAATTTAAAATCAAGCAATAAAAACAATGGAACCCCCGTTCGTCCAGAGGTTCTAACGAACAACAACACACAGGGTTTCTAACGTACAAAACATGCTGTACACCTTAGAAAAACTAATGTATTACCATAGTGACAAAAAATATTTTATGTAACGGAAAAACAACCAGTACTCGGTAGACAGCTGTTATACAATGTAGTATAACGCAGGAAGTGATTGCACTGGCAAACTAACATACTAGCTACTACTATCCAACTAATCAGCTAGCAAAACAAAAACTTGATCTGTGTTCTGGTCGTTAGCATGTGTGTCTGTGTGGTGTGCGAGTGTTTCTGATACAGAAAGGAAATTTGAAATCTGACGTCACAGTACTATTGATATTGGTATTACTAGTACAGTCACACTGACACACATGCCCACATGCACGCACTATTGAAAATTACTCACAAAACATGCATGTCATAACCTAACATGTCTAAATTTACTAATAAAAAACACTGACCATAATATATACATGTATGCAGGCATGCACATGCACCATTGCAAACAACTCACGAAACGTGCATGTCAGAAATGTACTTTATATGATGATCTGCAATGCATCATATTAATATACCATATAATCTAAATTTACTAACCGATCCCACTGCTTAGACCATAATAATACATATACGGTATATACATGTACAAACGCACGCACGCTTGGATGCACACACACACTATTGTGAATTACTCATAAAACATACATATCATAAATGTACATTTCATGATAGGCTTGAAGATCCAGTCTCTAACATTTGAATATTAGAAATACACAGATGTATACAACTCCAGGCAATAACACACAGCCACTGGCTATTTTAGGCATAGCGCTGTAGACACAAGCTTAATATCCACAACGTCATTTCGTGAATGAAGGACTATCGAAAACACTCCACTATATAATCCATGGCGATTTCTTTTGGGACACACCTCATGAGGCCAACGTTTTTTAGAACGAGAGGCAAATACACAAGATGGTGCCATTGCTGTCTCAATCACGAGATTCTAAATCGGTCATGGTTTGATGCAGTTCGGTCGAAAACTTCTTGTATTTGACACTCTTCAAACCGTAATACGGCTGAAGCTTCAACAGATGTGTCTGCAGGATGCCCAGTACCTGCGCATACCACCTGGGGTACTCGAGGTCCAGGACATAATACACAGCGAGGAGCTCAATGACAGCCACATTTCCACTCGTGGAACAGCAGTCTACATATGTTCCATCAGCGACAATGTACTGTCCTTTGATAATGTCCTCCGACTTGAAGATCACAAGTTTCGGCGGATCCAGCTCCATCGATCGAAGGTTTAGTTCCACCTCGTCATCAGGAATATCCTGAAACAAAAATGCATGATTTTTTAAGTAATTGAACAAGATCAATCTTCACAAAATGCACAAAGGCTTCTATTTGAAATATATGCATTTACTTTTGTTGTTTATATTGTGGAACATTGTTCACTAACCCATTAAAAAAAGATATACATTTATTGCCCTATGGCAAAGGGTATAGGTGCAGATTGATTTCTTCCACCAAGAAAAATCATAATATCCAACCATGAACACAACAATCTACTGTCCTATGTGCACGACTATCGGTAGGTTAGGCAAATATGATTTGTTTTTGGTGCAATAAATCATTGTATATCCCTAACAATAAGGCATAAATTGTTTATAATACCAAATAAGTCATTAAATCTTGCGTTCTCCAATCAAATTAAAAAGACGTTCAAAGACGTTTAAAAAGATGTTCATTTACTATACGATTCGGTAAATATAATACAATTATATAATCTTACTATAATTGGGGCATTTCTTTCTGTCTGGCTATACATTTCCACATTTCTCAACGGATCCTCTCCAAACATGGAGGGGAAATTTTTATGGGTCATGACACGTAACATGGGTTGTTAATTTTTTTGTGCATGGGTGCAAACCGCGCGTGCATGTGTGTGTTCGCTTATTTTTGGACTGATTGTCTCCAAATTTCCTGAGAACTGGTCATCCCGAGTTGCATAGGCTAGTGTACGTTTCCTTATCTTTGGACAGATTATCTCAAATTTGATGAGAACATACTATAGATCACAACTTAGTATCATGTGCTATGTACTTTTTATGTTCACACATCGTGTTCGTGCGTATGCGTGCTAAACACGCTCACATGTGTACATTCGCTTATCGTTGGATGGATTCTGGCACTGGTCACGGGCCACGGCCAGGTTTATTCCCAGTTTGTTGACGTGATGAGACATCAGTGTTGTACAAGTTTGCAGTTCCTAAAGACGTGTGAGAATGTGTGACTGGACACTCGAGGCGCTATTATTAAAAGGACTGAGTCGTTATCACCTTCCAGTGGACTATCCCTTTATATTATTAGAATGATATAGTCAATATAGGATTACATAGGTGAACATGTGATGACGGATTAGCCAATAGGAAAAGTGACACACACTCATGTACCTAATAGTACCCCATAATGTATGTGTCCACTAACGATCTGCATAAAATAAAATGGTGACATATGCATAAATCTGCATAAAATAAACTGCATGTAGACTTACCTCTTTTACTTCAATAACTGTCTGGGTTTTCTTCCCCTTTCCCCTGTCCAGTTTTGTCTGCTCTTCGATGTACTTGACAACAGCCACAAACTTTAACTTGGGATTCTGTAAATATTTACATGTATATATATAT